TTTGCGAAGGACCACTGCACCATTACTTTTTATGTCGGCATTCTTTTATTCGCTGTAGTGGTATATTAGTTAACGGACTAAGTTTCTACTGTATCATGAAATAGATATGACTTATCTGGGGGTAAGGCAGTAGTCCCGCTAAGTCGAGCAAAAACGCGCACGGCCGTACCATCCTTTTCTTGAAGCAGTTCAGGGCATTTTTGACGCCCCAATAACTTTGTTGTGGATAAAACTGGAATCCTGAATTTTCAGTAACCAAGCAGGCATTTTGTAAATACGGTATATTTCGAATTTCGTTCAATTCGAACCAGTAGTTTAAGAAAAATAACTGGTCAAAATTCCTTAATTTTGTTACTCAGTCACTGACTGACTGACCGATCATCGAAACCCTAAGGCAAAGTTAGTGTTTAAAATATAAATCAAGGGAAAACTAACATATTTTGCAATTTCAGTCCAGTTTTCTAAACACACAATCTGCGTAAATAACTTTTTAATCCCTCATAAATATATGGGATTACAAAGTTACATTTGCAGTGAATGAATCGGTGTACCTGTATATGTACAATATAATGTAATAATAGGTATAGATAGGTATAGGTACCTTTTTCTTTTTATAGGACAGGATGACAAACGAGCACACAGTCCACCTGGTAAGTGGTTGCTATGGCTCATAGACACCTACATGTATCCTCGATTACGAATCAAAATGCAGATGCGTTGTCACTCGTGAGGACTAAGATGGATTGCCTCGTTTCCAGTAAAAAGGGTCTCCGGTTCTCTACACTCACCCTACGAAACACAGCAGCATTAAGCTACTATTTTACGCTGGTATTATATGAGAGCGTGGTTCTTCCCAGGTCGAGCCGAACCATTCGTACTACAACTATACTACTAATATAACTGCAGCATGGCTCTACCACGTATAAACCTAGATATAATTATGTTCAAAGGTAACTTGTAAAAAGGTCAACGGAATGAAAAAGCAAGAATGGGACATGTCTTACGAAATCTCCCAAAGTATTAAGTAGACTACATTGCCCGAAATTTCCACAAAAGTAAGAACACTACTACTAAGGTACTAGGTTTAGTTAATGGTTCTATCGGTATAGTGCAAATAGGAAAGGTTGATCCGGGAAGTACAAAAATAATTAAGAAAATATAAATAGCATTTAATAAATAACATGTTTACGGGCTTTGTCCGGTCAAAACTAAATTTGAAATTATTAATATAGCTTAGGTTCATCGCGAACAGTTTCCCACATGGATAGCCTATGCTACAACTATACACAAAATTAAGGGCCTAAGTCTGAATAAAGCGCTGATGGATATCGGTGCTGCAGTATTCACATTAAGTCAAACATACGTGGCACTTTCAAGAGTTACAAGTCTGGGCGGCTTACATCTAATTAATGTCGACTTTGCAAGTATGAAAGCGCAGGACACGTCAATTTTTAAATAAATAGATTAACTTGACAATCGCACTAAACAATCTAATTTATTATAATATTTATTACTTGTGAGGCTGCGTTGTCATGCAATGGCCAAGTCAATCTATTTATTTAAAACATAAAAGATTTTTAATATTAATATGGTCACGATAAAAGTTATGTTTTTGATGGCATTAGTTATTAAATCTAGGATATTATACGGATGACATAAGCACCAGCAAATGGAGGTGATTGCTATCTAGTTGTTTCTAATTTGTTTTGTGTTGTTTATTATTATGTAACATGCGAAATAATTGCGTACTCTTCTTTTTTCAACAAAAAAAATATGTTCCTCTGGGTTTCTTGCTAGTTCTTCCCAGAATAGAAGTTTTTTTTCCGAACTAGTCGTTAATTAAACATAAGAGTGACTTACACTAATATTATTTATAATCTATATTGAATAAAAATGTTGCTATTCTACTACTACTATTCTTAATTTAAAATTGTGTTAATTGGGTGATTTTAGGACATTATATTTTAACTAGTGCGTGTTGCCAGTAATGACTTACGAAGTCGAAACGTGGTACTTTACTACTGGTAAGCATAGTCATTCGTTTGCGATGGAAGGAGCTATGCTCGGAATTCCTACGCAAGGTGAAATCTGTATCGAAGTCTACAGAAGTGGAGTATTGAATGACATTAGTTATTACTGATTTTAGCGTGCTTAATTAACTTATTTTATAATCACTTTTATTCAAACGTAAACATATCAGTATCTGCACTTCTGATTGATGGAAGAAATAGGATAGGGGATGTGACCTACCCAAACAGTCGCGTAGGCAGAAAAGGAGTCCTACCAGCTCATATTCAAAATATGAATCTTCATTCAGTATGGTCATTCCCTGTTTTCTTTCAATAATAATTTTATGTTGATTTCTAAATCACACATTTCTTATCCCTAGTCGTACAATTTATCACAATTCCACTGCAAAATATTGCTGTCGGCCCTGAGCTACCTGCATCTATCCTGCCTGCGTGTTTCATTAGGTTGTAACTCCATCTTATGGAGGGCCGTACACTGTTCCTCCTTGTTTCAACAGATCTGAACTCGATTGTACCTTGCCTCCCCATTGGTTATCGGTTCTTCTAGCTGTATGACTGACTCATTGCCACTTTGGCTTGCTGATCAGTTGGGCTATACCTGTTTCACTGGTTCTTCTGAGGATATCGTCGTTACGAATATTATCACGATATTTTATCACTACGAACATAGTCCTTTCCAGAGTATCCTCACTAAGCGCTTTACAGTTGGTATACATAACATATACCCACATAATGTATATTTTGTACGTGGTAGAGCCACGCTGCAGCTATATTATGGTTGTAGCACGAATGGGTCGGCTCGACCGAGTTAGGACCACGCTCTCACAGAATACCAACATAAAATAACAGCTTAATACTGCTGTGTTTCGTATGGTGTGTGTAGAGATCCGAAGACACTTTTTTACTGGAAACGAGTCATTTCGTCTTAATAAATAATTTATTACTTTGCAACCTTCCGCTAACCAATTACAATGACGTGAGTAACCTTTGGCATACCTGGATTGAAGAGCACCTCCCGCTCTCCCTGAATTGCATGCACTAACTCCGTCACCACCAGTCCCAGCACCACTACTCCCGGCACCACTACTTCCAACACCACTATTCCAGGTAAGACACACCATCGACGACAATACGACACGTGTTTCGCCTCTACACGAGGCATCTTCAGGTAATGTAGACTCTACGGCGACTGACCGCTAAGCTTAATCTTGGCATTAATCTTATCATTTCGTCTTAGTCCTCAGGGGTGACAACGCATTTGTGTTTTGATTATTCATCAAGTAAGTCTATGAGCCACAGCATCCACTTATCATTCGGTGAACTGTGTGCTCGTTTGTCACCTACAAAAAACATATCTAGTAATTCAGTAATAACTTACAGTACATAATCAAGTTGTTAATTTTAATGAATAACTCGTATGCTGTATGCCTCCTGGCGGAATAAACAACCTACCTCATATTTTAATATGTGCATATCGATATCTTTAAATTAACTTTTATTTAAAAGTAAACAGATTTGATTTGGTTTGGTTTGATTTGATATCTAAATTCAATCTGTACTAGAGGCAGATCGGTTATAATGGTAAACACTTCCGCCGATTGCTTTCGAGTTTAAGCTTTAGAGCGTACCTGCCGCTAACGAGGTGAGCTCGAGATTATTGCTCTGTAGAAGATTCCTATATCAACCCTAAAATAAACTGAAAATGACTGCTTCGTAGCGCAGTCGCTTGCAATAAGTAATAGCGCTAAGGGCCGTGGGTTCGAATCCCACCGGAACAAGTATTGTGTTGCTTGCAAATATTTTTTCCGGATATCCATGTTTGTCTTTGTGAAATTTGTGTTCGTTAACTATCCACACAATACGGGAGAAAATTCTAATGAGAAAAAAATACGCGGTAGTACTGTTCACACGCGGTAGAAGTGAAACCTTCAAATGATATATTTAATATGATTGTTTTTGTGATTAACTAGAAATTCATAAAACATAAGACAAAAGCTATGTAGAGATTTGTCCTCTACGCTCCACCAGTACGTTGGTCACAGTCTCCCTGTGAGGAACAAATGTTTCGAGGACGTATATATTAATTGATCGAAACATTTCAATTCTCAGACATGCATTTTCCTATTTTCTCGAGTAGATTTTCTTAAACACAAAGCACGTAGTAAATAAAATATATCATCCTCATAATATAAATAAATATTGCTTGAAATGAGGATATCCGCAGTAGAACCGGGGTAACTAACATAGCGTAACAGATTAGTAATCTGAAGTGGCAACGGGTCTGCCATATAGCTTCAAGAATTAACAGCCGATGAGGAAGAAAGGTTTTCGAGTGGCAAACTCGTACCGGTAAGCGAAGTGTAGGGCTTCCCCCTACCGTATGGAGTAACCTGGTAAGATATGCAGGAAGTCGATGGATGCAGCTGGTTCGGGACCGTGCTTTGAGGAGTTTCTTGGAGGAGGCCTATGTTCAGCAGAGGACTTGTGAAGAGCTGTAATGATAATGATGAAAATATTTTTCTTTATTAGCGATGATAAGGATGTTATTGTAGAGTTATTACTAAATGCCGGTCGTTCAAATTTATTATCACTAACAATGCATGGTTAAAGACGACATTATTGATAACTGCGTTCGTAAGCTTAATAGGTTGATAAAGGATGCCATCAGTTTCAAATATTTCAGCATAATTTGTTAGAAGTAATTAATAATGGCAACTGTAATTACATTTACCTCAAAAATTGTTAATGTATGTACATATTAGATTTATTTATTTATGAAATTGGCGTTTGGTTTCAACTAGTAACTTTATACTGTGACAGCAATGCTTTGACTTGGATTCTAAACTTAAAGTCATGCGTGCATTGATTGTGGAATTGCCTCTAAAACAAATCATTATTTTGTAACAACAAATCACTTAAAACATATTAAAATACGTATTAAAAATATTGCCTCTAAATAAATATTTGTTCTCATTTACATTCACATTTCTTCTTTCTTTTTAACGCCTTCAGCTCGCTATGATTATTTATGACTTGCTGAACTTCCTCTTCAGATGGAACTCTTGACTTCGACATCAACCATTTATTGACTCCCCACGTAAAGCAGCGTTCAAATAAAATATAGTTCTCATTTATATACCTAAACACTTTTATGTCATATACTTCCGGGCTCGTGTAGAAAGTTCCTGGCTGTTGAAGAAATATTTTTGCCTCTCTATTTCCGAACAGGAGTCCCGTGAAAAGTCTACTATACGTCTCTCTGTACAACACCATATCTTCATCGAATGAGTATGGCATGCCAGTTAAATTGAAATAATTCTTATAAACGCTCAACTCTTCCTCTGTTGGTCTTCTAAACTCGATTTCAATGGTTTTATTCGAAGGAGGTGGATTAGGAGATTCTGGGAAGTGGTAAATCTTATACCAGTATCCTTTCAAAAACTCGTTGTCCAATCTTTTACCAAACGTCGCCAGGCAGATCCTATGACGATCGCTAATTGGCCTGTATATTTGGTTTTGTGCACAGAAAACACTTAAAATTGTTAAAGATGAAATCAAAGCGTATTGAAAACGCATTTCACTTGTTACAGTTTTAATAAGAATATTACAAGTAATAATAATACAAGTCTATTAATTATTATATTTTCAATAGCTTTTGTTTTTAATAAGTTGTTGTTTAAAGAATCAGTTAACGTTTAAAGATACCGTGAAATGTTAGGGTTACTTTTAATTATATCTAAAAAACAAGCAACGTACGTTTAACCGCAAAGATGACTTGGTGGACACTGGCCCATAGATAATAAATAATACACTAGATAATATATGGAACTTTGACCGGGGCGGCGGATAGCGCCTGAGCTGTTCGATTTTCGATTTACCTAGTTACGAAAAATTATTTAATAACGCAGATTAAATCAACATGAACAAAATCACATTTGATATTAAATTACAGCTAACAACAACATTTTCTTTATACGTTTGAAACACTGATAAATATGGTGGGGTACGAGCGGCACCGAAAATTTCGGGAATCAAGGAAGTGACACAACTTTACTATTTAAAAATGTATTTATTGCTTTTCGAAATATTCTCCGCGAAATTTGACACATTTTTCCATACGATGGAACCAATCATTGAAGCAACCATTCCATTCGGAAGTTGGGGTCTCCAAAATGGCCGTTTTGTAGGCGTTCACAGCTTCTTCAGGTGATGAAAATCTCTGTCCACGCAATTTATTCTTTATTTTAGGGAAAGTATAAAAATCATTAGGGCTTAGGTCGGGGCTGTTCGGCGGATGGTCTAATAATTCTATGTTTTCTTGCTCTAAAACTCTTTTGTTCTGTGTGCGGTGTGAGAACTCGCATTGTTGTGATGGAGGACGATGCGGCGGTTGCAGTTCTCTTTACGGAGTTCAGAAACGACCTGTGGCAAACAAATGCTAGCATACCATTCTGCATTAACCGTTCTTTGTCCCTCAAGAATTCCTCTTCGTCGTAGTCGTAACATGGCCGGTTTTGGAGACAAACGTGGCCACCATTTTTTTTTGCAACACTCTTACGCACAGCATCAACCTTTTCTTGGGTGACTGCAGTTTTTGAACGACCTTGACGGGGTTCATCACTGAGCTTGACACGTCTACGTTGAAATTCAGCAAACCAGCGATAAATTGTGGTTTTGGATGGGGCTTCATCACCAAATGCAGAAATCATCCGGTTAACACACAGTTTTTCTGTTAAACCACTTTGAAAGTCATAATAAATCATCGCTCTTGAATTTTCTCAAGTCCATTTTCTCAACGACTAAACAAGTTTGACAAAACCTTGTGACAAGACCGAGAATCTTTTTTTAAATAAATAAATGGTATTCGATTTTTAAAACCAAGGAGTTTTCAATTAAAAAGATTTTAATATGACAGGAACAGTGGAAAAATTTCATTCCCGATACTTTTAGTGCAGCCTTGTAGTCCATTTTTTATTTCGTCCAATGTGCACTTAAATAATGACAAAAAAAATGTCGAACCAACGTTCGCGGTTTACAATACAAAGAAATAATCATCTCGCTCGCTGGCAGTCGACTAAAAACGGTACGGAAAGTTGACCGTCACTAAATGCGTAATGTACATCGATAAAAATGACAAGATATGATCGTGCGAACAAAAATTTTTCACGGTTTAAGCATAGAATAAATCAGCGCCTTCTCTTAAATACTCATAAACTGCCACGGAACCAGTGTTTCAACTTATGATTTTGGTTTTGCCCTAGAAAGCCTAGCCTTTTGTTTTAGTTAAGTGGTTAGTCATCATATTTCTTATGACGTTGCCTCGTTTAGAGTTTGGCTTGTAATCGGAGCATGCACCGTCTACTAATACCTTGATGCTCCGATCTGCAAGAAAACTGATGATCCAATTACACGATTTCTCGGGAATCCCATAGGAAGGAAGCTTCATTAGAAGCACTTTGTGCCAAACCTGATCGAAGGCCTTCGCTATGTCCAAACTAACGGTCAACGCCTTGGACTCTACTGCCTCCACCCATTTATAAGTCAGGTAACCCAGAAAATCACCAGCTGAGCGACCCCGACGGAAACCGTGCCGGCGATCTTTAACCAACTGGTGATCCTCAAGGTACCGCATGACCTGGCTGTTAATAATGGACTCCATTATTTTAGAGAATAAGGTGTTTATGACGATAGGTCTATAGTTGTACGGATCAGAGCGGTTACCTTTTTTAGGGATCGGGTGCATGAAAACTGTCTTCCGTGATTTCGAGACTACGCCCATGGAGTAGCAGTACCCGAAAAGACGCGTTAAAACCGTTGCCAACTCAGCACAATAGGAGAGACCATCAGGCTCACTCGACTTGTTGATGTCCAGGAAGAAGAGTGCTCTACGCACCGAGCGTAGGGTTATCAGCACTTCCTGCATGGAGCTATCACACCGCGTGATGGTGGGCGGTGTGTTCCTCTCGTCATCAGGAGTCGAGTTGGACGCAAAGAGAGATCCCAGCAGATTGGCTTTGTCCCTGGCGGAATAGGCCAGTTAATCGTCTTCCCTATGAAAAGATAAGAAAGATAAGAAAGTGATGGCCGTCGGAAGTTCCCTTGGACAGCCTTGGTAAGAGACCAGAATGCACGTGTACCCAAAGGAGCTGAGCTAGTTTCTTGCCAATTCTGCCGATTTGCTCTAACTTTGCCTTAAAGTCCTTCAAAACTGGCAATGACACTTTTGAAGGACATGGAGGCAGAATTATACTTCTTTTTAAGGGCGCTGGTATTTTCATCCCGAGACATCGATGCGCGAGCTCAGGCCTGGTAGATCTCTTGCTTATGACGTAATGCGGTTTTACAGGTGCGACCAAACCATGGCTGGGTTCTGCCTCCGATGAGTATAACAGATGATGGAATAAAAAGTACCATTCTATGTAGCAACACATCTGCGACAGAATCAGCAACAACGCTGGAATCATCCGGCGAGAAACAAACCCGCCTCTAAGGGTAGGATGCAAAAGAAGATCGCATCCCATCACAATCGGCTAACCTATATGCTAAACACGGTGGCAACATGGAGAACGCAACCGCGATGGGAGCATAAGTGACACCATACGCCGTCCGGATGAGAGCTCAGCAGTAGGTCCAACATGGAAGGTGCATGAAACTCCACAACTGGAATCCGCGTAGGTAAAGTACCCAGCTGTGTCAGACCATTTGCCAAGCCTTAAACAAGGCTATTCGACATGAGCGCTAAAATCGCCAAGGATCACGATCTCTGCAAATGGGGTCCGCTGTAACAAGGAATATGCAGCCATTGTGACGTGGTCGATAGGTCAGTCTGTTTCGGCGTTACCGCTATGGGACCTATAGAGGCACTCATAGACGCGCGGATGATCTTTGCTGTCTACGCGTAGCCAAAGGATGGATAGGCGTCGAAAACAGATGTCCTCTCTGACGTGTATGCTCAGCCCGAAGCACAAAGGAGTGTTCCAATTTGTACCCCGGGTAGGAGAAATACGAAGTATCAGCCGGTGAGGACCTGCGTCCCGGTCAGAAAGAGCAAGGCCGACTTCGCCATCTCTAGATGGTAGTGGATGGCATTTAGGATCGAGTGAAGCCCCCTGATGTTGCCGAAATCCACGGATAGCACGGATAGCGTAGCGGGGGCAGCCTTAGTCTTTTTGCTCAATTTCTCCGAGCAGTTTTTGTCTTGAGTGAAATTTGCCCCCACGCAGAATACGCGGGGTACCCTGAGCACCCAAACTCAGGAGTGGAGTGGCTTGGTTGTGGATGCTCAGCGAGAGATTCTTCATTACCAGGAATGTTGGCACCCTCCTGGGGTAGTCTCTTATTTAATTCTGCTGCCATGTTGATATAGGGGGGGGCGTGGCCTCCAGCCACCTGCGCTCATCAGACGAAAAGCCGGAGCAGAGTACTTGACGCCGGTATTCTGTAAGGTCGTGTTACCACCCCGGTTTGAGCCGGACCATACATGCAACAGCAGCCATAACATAGCAGCCGCGTGGCTCTATCGCTGTTAACATACAGACACATAATTTAAGTTCATTAATTCTATTGAAAATTTTGAGGTAGCAGTAAAAATTGCATCGAACTCGGGGATACGGGAATATTCGGATCCAATTAATATATAATATTTGCCATGTGGTGACTGTATAAGTGAATGTACCTATAAACTTGGAATAATTATTTGAAGTCTATACCAATACTTGTTTCTTGCGGGATTAGAACCTGCGAACCATAGCCCTGCTAACCATTGCTAAGCCACTGCACTACGGATCCGTTAATTAAAGACAAATTAGTAAGACTATTTCCTATCCAGACTAGAAATTAACTTATATAATATAATAATAAATTGGATAAGATAATAAATTACTACTTACTTTGACCAAGTTCGAACGCTTACGAAGTTTGTTCAAGATGCCACAAACAGTTTGGGAAGCGATTGAAGTTATCTACAAACTCAATAGTTTGTGCCAGCTTACTTGGAAAGTAAATATAATGGCTTTTGAGATAGTCAAAGAAAAAGTTTTAGTTCTGAACATAACTTTGTGTTAGGAGAAACGCCTAACAACTTACAATCTTGCTATGGAATGATGCGACTGACATCGAAACTATCTTTGTTTTGCAGAAGCAATTTATAACCTAGGTCCAAAGGAATCCGAAAGAGTGGAGGAAGGAAGAAATTAAAAATAAATGTAGTAATAAGTTAATATAAACTTTCTCTCAGTTTATTTTAAAAAAATATATGTACATAAAAGCAAGAATAGTGTTGTTAAAATAAGTGATGTACAATGTACATTCTGTAAATACTAGGAACAAGCACAAGCTAGTTATACCAGTTTCTTGACTCCGAAGAATTAGTAATTCTTTCTTGTGGCAATGTATATATACGCTTCTGCAACAAATTCCCCGTAAACATGCAATGGTGTTTGCACAATCTTGTGGCAGTGTATATATACGCTTTTACAACTAATTCCCGGTAAACATGCAAGACCTATCTATCAAAAAGGTTAAAATTTTTATGAAGCAAAAAGTTTTATTCAAAGCAAAAAATTATTAATAATTTA